AAAGTTATAGATCATATCCCATTATGCCCCGCCGTTCCGTTATGCCCCGGGTTCCCCTATATCCTTTTCTACTTGTGATTTTTTTCTATTTGTGTCATATTATACTTGATAAACATTATAGGAGCAACATCCATTTGCACCATAAAAAGAACGACGGAGACAGTCGAGATGAAGAACTGCAAAGAAAAAATTAAAGAAAAATAATGTCTGAAATTTTACAGCTTTATGTAAGCTAAGTTTTCACATAAAAATATATGAATGTCTCTGGAAACTAACCTTACGAATAAAATCGTAGCCAAAGTAAAACATTCCCAATCCGCTAAACTTTAACGGTCGTAATATTATTTGCGAAGCAAATTGGGACATCTGTATCACATAATAAAGTGATTTTTAAATATTCTTAAATAAAAATTACTTAGAATTAAGAACGGTAATATAAAAGACTTTCTCACCTCTTCGCGTATTTCGGCAAAACATAGACGATTTATTAATTTATGGATAACGTCCTTGGTCTTTTGCGCCTGAAATAAAATAAAATTAATTATGTTTTTATATTTATAATAACTGTATTTGCCTTTAACCACGATCGATTTGATTTTTTTCATAAAGAAACTTTCAAATATTTCACGATTGAAAAAAATTTATCTTTGCAATGTTAATATTTATTTAGATTATTATTCAAAAGTTTTAATCTTTTAGACAGATAAAAGATTATGTCATGTAACGTTTCTACATGTAAAAATAATTTTCCCCAATTATTTCACCATTAAAAATATTTACCTTAGCGCTAACACTTTCGCATATATGATTCAATGATATTAGTTTCATTAAATATATGATAAACCACGTGTTAGTAGAAAGCAATATTTTTAGCGCTGTATCATCGTCATATATTTTTATTGGTTTTAATATTGCGTTGTAGTGAAGATTAAACATCCCGATTAGAATAACGAAATAGGACAGCATCTGCAGAGTTATTTGAATTCCAAAAAACCCATTTATATTGCGAGCTACTCGGCAGAGTTCCAAATGAAGATGCCTAGAAATTTATATAAATAAATACAAGTATTTTCAGACAAAATATTGATTTTTTAGATATTTTTCCTAGACAAATAACTACATATACATCGTTTATCTCTTGGATAAGCTGAATCTATATAAAAAGTTTTATTATGTCGTAAAACAATTTATTTATCTTTATTTATCTTTATCCATGAAATTTAACTTTATACCACGTTATTAATTTTTATATTACTAATAATTAGAAAACTTTCACAGATTTACAGATTTTGTTGATGTAGAATGGAATTTTAGCATAAATTTTTGACATAGGTATAGAATTGTTATAAATTAATACAGATACATCATAAATGAGATATTATAATACAGAGTGTTCCATTATAATTGTCCATCCCCAGAAACTTTTTTATTCGTGATTTAAAAAACTACTTTCAGACTAAAGTTATATGGTTTTAAAAGAAACACATGATTCCGATGTAAGTCATGTTGAAAATGTTATTTTCACAAAATTTTAAAGACAACTAATTTTTTAAATAGAATTTTATTTTCTCCTTGAGATAAAAGAGTTGTAGATCTCATCGAGATTATAATGAAACACTTTGTATAATAAATCAAACACATTTAGTTAATAAAATTTTTTTGGAGAAATTATTTTCTGCAATTTTTTTGTGCCACAGCATATATCAATTTACATTACGGTCCATAATATGTGCTTGCGACTCTCAACACTTCCGACACTGTTAACGACGAGACATCTTTTCCCTTTGTATCTAGGTCCATAGTTTTCCGTTTCTGATAGTTGCATAATACAGTTATTTATTTCATCCAATCTAGAACCGATGTGTCTGCAATTTAAAAGATATTTAGAAAAAAGAGTAATTAAATGCGTATTGGAATGAAAACGAATAAAAAATTAAGTTATTTATTATTCTCTTCCTATGTTTAAAAATATATTTATATTTTTAGAGAAGTTTCATAGAGAAACTTTATTGCAAACTCCAAAATCCGCATACGCAGACCGAAAAATACAGATTTCATGCATAACGACATGCAGAAATGCCTGTTTAAAGTAACATTAATAATGTAAAATTAAATCTATTATATGTACATTATTAATTACATTATATCCTACATTATATCCTACATTATTAATACATTTAATGCATTTAATTCAGGAAGTAAAAATTTTATCAGTTGGATATAGTAGGTATAATCTATAAAAATTCTCGTTGTAAAATAGTTGAAACAAAGTAAGATTTGCGAACCTTAGAAGAACCGTAAATATTATATCAACGATGGTATTAATACATGAACTATAATCCATAATAATAGGGATGATTATGGCTTTTATTTCATTATATGCCTCTATACACAATAAAGAATCAACAATGTATGCGGCGGATGTCATAACAATGAATACAATCAAGGCCCATTTTATCAAATTTTTCAATCTATGATAATCTTTTGGCATTCCAAGTTCTTCCAATGTATCGTTCACTAAATTGAGTTTTCTTATACATATGTGGAATTTCTAAGCAGCAAGAGAAAATATAGAACTTTAATATTCTTTCTTAAATAAATATACATAAGATACACTTGTAACAATGCATTTTATAGTAATGTGTAAACTGTAAAGCAGTGTGTATGGTAAAAATTTTATCAAAATTTTATTAAATTAGCTAATATACAATATATGTGTGTATACAAGGTGTCGGATTCTATTTGGACCACTCCAAAGATTATATATGTATTATTCTCCTACCACCAGAAAAACTTTTTCGGCGCGGTGTCATATGTCGCGCATTCGCTCGCTGCGCGCCGTTCGCCCGCTCACCGCTCCCCGCTCGCCGACGTCTCTCATCGATCGATGCGTGACTCCACCTCTCGCTATCGGATCTTGAGAGATGTCAACAGATACACCATTTTGCATGTCTGCCGAGTCCGGCC